GCAATCTAATTTCGTCATGCGATAACAACCGATAAGGGGGTTACTGACTCGTTGTTTACATTATCTTGGATAACTGGCGGATGAAGTATTGCTAAATTAAAAATAAAAACCGGCCAAATGCGAGTCGGGCCTCCCTCCATTGTGCTTCCGTACATTTATTATCACCAATCAACATTTATTAAACTAGATAATCAATTAGGTAGTGCTTTTTTGTCTCAGTTCTTAAGTTGTACGAAGTCATATAGAGAATACACTTGTTTAACGTCCTTTTCACAAAACAAAGATCATGTTTAATGTCCATGTCACACCTATGCCGGTAGTTGTTGGGAGCACTAAGCTCGAAGTTGTGGACGAATATGTTTACCTGGGACAAATAGTCCGACTAGGTAAGTCCAACTTCGACCAAGAGAGGAGAGGCTAGGCAGCGTTCGGGAGATTACGATATATCTTCTCGTCAGGCATACCTCAAAACTAGATTGTTCAACCAGTGTATGTTGCCAGTGACCTATGGATCTGAAACGTGGTCGTTCACTGCGGGCCGTATGAGGAAGCTCAAAGTCAGCGAGCTATGAAGAGGGCTATGCTCGGCGTTTCTCTGCGTGGTAGATTCAAAAACGAGGATATCCACAGTAGAATCAGAGTTACCGACATAGCCCAACGGATTCGCAAGCTGAAGTGGCAATGGGTCGGCTATGTAGCTCGAAGAAACGGCAACCGATGGGGAAGAAAGGTTCTCGAGTGGCAGCCTCGTACCGGCATGCGAAGTGTAGGACGTCCCCCCGCTAGATAGAGGACGACCTGATAAGGTGAAAAGACATGCAGGCATGCAGGTGACTCAGGACGGTGCTTTGTGGCATTCCTTGGGGACAGCCTTTGTTCAGCAGTGGACTTGTGAAGGGCTGTATGTATGATGATGACGATGAGAGGACAAACTACATTATGAATCTATATTCACAATTTTTAATGTTAAAACACAGTACTACATATTTAATAGAACTTTCAACTTAACAACTTTAGTTTTTGTGATTGACCCTGTAATAAAAACGGTCTAAACTGACAACTTGCACGGCCCCCGTCTACGAGCTAGAGATCAGTGACAAACGAATGACGGACAGACAGACAGACTGCAGCTATATTAGTTGTAGTACGAATGGGTTGGCTCGTCCGGATAAGGACCACGCTCTCACAGAATGCCAGCGTAAAATAGCAGCTTAACGCTGATGTGTTTCGCATGGTGAGTGTTGAGAACCGGAGACCCTTTTTACTAGGAAAGCGGCATTTCATCTTAGTCCTCACGGGGTCCATCAGGTGGACTGTATGCTCTTTTGTCACCTTATCTCATAAAAAAAAGACGGACAGACATGACAAAGTGACATTAATAAGTCTCCGTTTAACCCTTTGGGTATGGGACCCTAAAAAACGATTTCTTCATAAATGCTATTTGTTATTATCGATAATGAATCCTGATTTAGCAACGTCACTGGCTTCCCACTGACTGAGAATTCTCAACTTTGCGGGAGATATTCTGGTTATAATTGTTTACGCAAACATGTTTAAAAAAAGATAACTCGTCCTAACTTATCTGTGCCCGATGTAATGCTGACGCGATAAGATTGAGGTCGTGATAACATCGAGCTTTCACAAGCAGTGACAAAAATGGAGAAATTATATAATTTTTAGCCGACTTTTAAAAAGGAGGAAAATCTTAATAAAGAGTGTATGTTCTTTTTTTGCATGTATGTTACTCGACTACCTGCATGTCTTAGCAAGTCGTTGAGTAGAGTCCATCTAGTGGGGGGACCGCACCACACTTTGCCTATCGGTACGAGGCTGCCACTCGAGAACCTTGGATGTCCAAGGTCCAACCCAAGTCGATGGATGCTGGTGGTACGGGACCGTGTTTTGTGGCATTATTTGAGGGAGGCCTATGTTCAGCAGTGGATTTGTGAAGGGTTGTAATGATGATAATGATTATCTTACTCGACATCTTCGTCAATTGTGGACCGACATTAATGATTATTTTTCATATAATAGGTTATACGTTTGAGGTAGCTATTCCATTTTAAAAGTCTACGTCTATCCTCAATTAAGAATAAAACTGCAGATGCGTTGTCACCTCTGAAGACTGGAAAACCTCGATTCCAGTAAATAGCCTAAATACCATACGAAACACAGCAGCATGAAGCTGCTATTTTACGCTGGTATTCTGTGAGAGCGTGGTCCTTCCCGGTCGAGCCGACTCGACCCATTCGTGCTACAACCATAATGTGGCGCTACCCTACCACGCATAAACCACGTGTTTTTATCGTCGTTCATTTATTAAATAAGTATGTCAACGTTAACGACCTAAAAGTATTGATACAGATCAGATAATTTACTTGTTTTGCCTAATACTACTAATACTAATAGAATTTTAAAATATTTTTTTTTAATTAATATGACAATTGAACTTACAGTCCACTTGATGGTAAGTGGCTACTGTAGGACACCTGCAGCATACTTTTTTTTTATAGAATAAGGGTGCCAAACGAGCACACAGTCCACCTGATGGTAAGTGGTTGCTGTGGCCCATAGACTCTGAGAGAGAGTAATGCCAGAAGTTGTAAGGTAATTTTTTCCTAAAAAAAATACAGAATTTTTTGAGAAATCGACAAACTGATATAGTAATTAATCTCTGATTGATTATAAGTCTAAATGACGCTACATTAGATTCCACCCAGGCGAACGTGGGACGAGTCGCCAGTAAACAGACAAATACTTCATGACCGGCAATTTAATTTTTATAGACGATAAAAACAACTTTTTTTAATTATAACCGAATTCTTGTACAGTTCATAGGAATTCCTACATTCCTATTCTTTCGTAATGCGTACAGCAAAGAAATGGAATAATTTTCCGGTGTCTGTTTTTCCGTCCGAATACAATATGAACGTCTTCAGGGCAAGAGTGGATAGCTGAATAACTTTTTGTAACGCTAAGACAGTGCGATTTACCACCTTAGGCTTTATCACCACTTACCACCAGGTGGCATTGTCCTCAAGCACTCGCTTATAATAAGTAAAAAAAAAAAAACTATTCATAGGAATACATTGTATTGATTCATCAAAACTTTATTTCGCCTTATCGACGCTCTTAAAATATTTTTTTTTAAACTCCAACGACTTCGCAAGTCACGTGTTGGCGAATTTTCCTTTTCCAGTACCAACATTACAATAAACACGCCGAGTGCGGTCAGCGTAGTGTGAATCAAGTGAATAAAGTGAATAAATAATTACAAAAATATCTGTCAAGCGTGACTGTTGTTGAGTCTCGTGCCCCAACGTAATCTATATTTGTCACGATTAAAACTACACTACCAAAAATTTAGCACTGCACATATCACTTAGACCACACCACACACCTATTGCGGACTGTGGAGTGATGAGAACCACGCGTTCACCGAACATTTTAAAACAGAAGTCGTGAAATATTTAGTATCGGACAAAATAAATGATAAATATTTTGAATAAAGCCTGTCTGTCTAAGTATGTCTGTTATTTTTTTATTGGATAGGGTGACAAACGTGCACACAGTCCACCTGATCGTAAGTAGTTGCTGTGGCCCATAGACATCTACATCTATCCTCGTTTGCGACTCAAACTGCAGATGCGTTGTCACCCATGAGGACTAAGATGGAATGCCTCTTTTCCAGTAAAAATGGTCTCCGGTTCTCTACACTCACCATACGAAACACAGCAGCGTTAAGCTGCTATGTTACGCTGGTATTCTGTGAGAGCGTGGTCCTTCCCCGGTCGAGCAGACCCATTCGTGCTCTTAGCACGTTAAAATAAACTCTTATTGCTGCTTCTTTGGTCTTATGGTCGTAAGAGCGACTGTTGTTCACGAGGTTCCGGTTTCAAATCAAAATGAAATGTTTAAAAAAGGAAAACCAATCGAAGTGATAACATCCAACTTTTTAAAAGTCTGTTAAAAATACCATCGCGAAGGGAACCGTCCCGACCCGATAAGTCTAGCACAATATGGCAACACCGGATAACCGCCATCTTATCGTTATGTTGTGAATTAGAATCGAATGTCGAAATAGTACATGTGATGTATCCCCTTTCCTCAATAACGAAATAAACATAAACATATGCATGCTTTTATCGATCAATAAAATAAACTGTGAATCTGATGTCGGAATAAAACTAGAAGCGTTGTTAAACAAACAGTCACCTACACGCACAAGTCATTATCTCATTCTAGTGTATCATGCAAGTGGCCGGTAGAGAGTGAGCGTTTATAATTACAGAATAATAAATATTTTGCGACATCATACAAACTACGGTAAACTGTAAAATTAAAATCATGCTTTATTGACAGTTTTTAAAAATTAAATTTGTTCTCAAATGGAATTCTTTTGGTTCAAATCCATTTAGTATTTTCGTTTACGAACAAATTTAAATTTTAAAGACTTAGGCGACGTCAATAAATTGGTGTGGTAACACCATTAATTTCCTACTGCATGATTTTAATGTACTTAAAAAAATTATTGGTTTGGGGAATGTTTAGCACTGGCCTTTGAGGAGCTATAATAATCATACTGTGGATATATTTTATATAAGTGACATATAGGGCTGAGCCAAGTCACTTTTTAACTTAAATCTCTACTGCTTAGTAGACACTAGACTTATCAAAGATGGAGCTTGTGCCACAGAATTTATAATGGAACTATACGTTCTTATGTCCTATGTGAAAAAAATGAGTGAAAATAAACATATTTTTTTTTATTGAATGGTCGAGATTTTGATTAATAAGCAATATTAAAAAAATACATCATCTGCTAGAATGCGAATAGAGCGCCTTTCAGGTTACATGCAGGTACCCCAAGAAAACCACGCAGTATACTTACTGACGTAATTTGTACCAAAATTATCAGTTAATTTTTGATATAAGATATACCGTATATAAAATGATCGTTTCAAAGTTTAAAGTTTAACCTATCTCCCTCTCGCTTACAGGTAGTGGAAAATGCACGAGCAGGACGGCGACGGAGAGCCGGCGCACCACGCCCGGCGGCCCATGAACGCCTTCCTTATATTCTGTAAACGGCATCGAAGCGTCGTGCGCGACAAGTATCCCAATCTTGAGAACAGGTGAGTACCACAATTAAATAGAACTTCTGTATCAGAAAGATATTGTGAACGTTCACACCTACGTTTAGCAGTAAACTTTAGATAGAGACTAATGAATTAATGAATCATATTGTCAACCCTTTGCTTGAATTGTTATTTTCGTATTTACAGATCCATAACTAAAATCCTGGGGGAATGGTGGGCCAACTTGGAAAAAGAAGAGAAAGCTTGCTACACAAGTCTTGCGAAACAGGTAAATTAACTGTGCATAATAAAAAGAAATCATTAACTGTGCATATTTTAAGTATTCAACTAATTTGTGACACCTTAGTCTAACTACCGACTTTCTGCTTTTAGTATAAAGACGCATTCTTCAGCGCTAACCCTGACTTCAAGTGGTACAAGTTGCCCGCACCTCCTCTTCGCACTCTCTCATCGCGGCCTCGGGAATCGAATGACAAAACTATCGAGTCCCCCAACAACGAATATCATGATACTGAATTAGAGAAAACAAATAACAACTCCACTAAAGTTGATCTTAATAAAAAACCATCAGAAAATGCTATTGACGTAGAAGCAAAACCGTTATCTATGTTCACGCCCGGCAAATTGGCTGACGAAGCCCAAATGGGAGGCCTCAGCAGTCTCCTTGCTACCAAGACTGAAATTCAAACCCCAAATCCATACTACTCACCTCCTTCCTTTAAATTTAACGCGATCTCAACCACAGTAGAAAACCGATCTCGTAATATTCTAGAACGGGTCGGCATTAAAGGTAACAGAGAAGACAATATACGTGAGCTTCAGAATGCTCTCACTGAAACCACTAGGATATTTGAAGAAGATTTTGATGAAACTGGTCAAATATACCACTACGGGACACCAAATGATCAGTTCACAAACCAGGATGTTATAGATCAGATAGTAGACAAGAGATACTCGACTGACGACGGATATCAAAGAAATTGGTCGGATGATGAGAAATCGAAATCCGGAAGGTCTTGCAAAGGGAAAAGGTACCAGGAGTTCATGGCAGTTGGGGGACTGATAGTGAATAAGAGACAAAAAAGGGATTTTCCTGACAAGATGCCAGACGAGGGCTACAGCGCGTCCTGTAGCTGGGATCCTGGCAGTTCACGTGAAGAGTCTTATATCGAAGACTCGAAACCGAATTCTGTGAATGACGTAACAACAGAAAACGAAGCAAAACCCGAAACCGATGCTACTGAACCAGACAATAATGCTAACAAAACATTTAAGGCTGCCGACTTTGATTTAGATGCTAAAATTAGGGCCCTACCCTCCCTTAGTTTAGAGAAGTTCCAGCAAAAGAAACGCGAAAATAAACGGAAGAAGAAAACAATCAACTTGAAGCCAAAGGCGCTTGAATCTTCCCAAATAATAAATTCAGTGCCACGCCCACTTATGGATGACAGACGTGAAATGGCCGAGAGGTGGCGCGAAAATGTCATCGGTAGCCAAAAGAGAAAACCGAGAAAAATAAGCATCACAAGGCTTGAGATCAACAGCATGGTGTCGAACGATATGAATGGAGCACCTAAAACAAGCCCTGATATCAAAATCGCAACTGAGGCACCTTGCACTGTGATCCAAAATATGGAGATCTGCAACCAAACGCCACACAACAGCGTCGACCTCCTCGCGCTAGCAACTTTAGCCGAAGTGGCAGCTAACACGTCCAAAATAGAACACACGACCATTGCGGAAAGCATTGCCAAAGGGAACGACAACGCTTCCATGGTATAAAATACCAACAAAACTAGCCTTAAAAGATATTCCAAAAATTATTTACTTTATAATCAGATAATATTTATATATAGATCTACTTTTACATGGTACGCATAAAATTAATGTTATTGTACACTTTTTAATTGTAGTTTTTATAAATTAGAGATAGAATTATTTATATAGAAATAGAAAAGATATATGTATACTTGGGTTGAGTTCGTGTAGGCTATGAAATATCATAGCAGAATACTGCTTTTTTAGGATTAAAAAACTAAGGGTGATAGATAAAGTACTATAAAATATCACAGGAATAAAAAAAGCATAATCTATTTTGCATGTAAAAAGAGAAATATAATATGTCAGAAGTGATTGAAATTAATTTAATACAGTGTGTTCTAATAAATTTTGTCAATTAAATAAAATTGTTCATTAGATCACGCTGTATTTGCACTAAACATCACAATTTAAAATTATATAATAAAATGCCAAAAATAAGTCATTGTAAAATCATAAACCTCATTATGTGTAATAGGTTATACCACCTTAATCGCCTTAATATTTTAGATGTAAAATCTGAACTAAGACACCACGTGCATAGACTGTTTTGCATTTTTAAGGTGACTTTTTTTTGTTTTATAGTATTGCATGTTTGCAGTCGTGTAATTTTACTTAAGGCACTTGTACAGATTTGTGGTTTTATCACAAATAGAGTTTATATAAAAATAAATTTAACGTTAATAAATTAACGTTTATAAATTATATATCGTTACTGATATTATTATATAAGAGAAAAAATTATCCGTTAAGAAATTTGCATGATTTTAATTGCAAATAGTTTCCAAATTTACAGTCCATGAATTTGTGGGTTAAACTTACAATCCTTCCCTTGTGATAAATCTTTATACTAGTGGAACATCTAGAAACAATTAATTCTTATCGTCACACAATCTAACACTCGATATAATATGTTAAAATATTTAAAAATCTAAAAAAAAAATATATTTTTACTTTCGTCCAGTACGTAAAAGTTATATTGTCCCAATTAGGTACCTGAAAATTATCGAAAATTTTCATCAATTTCTCTTTTAAGTAAATCATTGCATCATTTTTATTTTTAAGCTATTTTAACAGTTTTTGCGGGCACCGTTTGTCTTTTAGTTACTGTTTCGTCCCAGAACAGTGTTTCTCAAATATATTGTTTTTGTTAATTTTGATGATAAATATTTTACTAAAGGGCTCTGTGATTACCCTATCTTCTATGTTTTAGCTATATAGAAGATGGATGGTGCGATGCTTTTGTTGCAGGTCTAGTCTAGAATAGTATTTTAATAAAATAATCAAGTACTAAATTCGAAAAGTGCACTTATATTGTTTATAGTTACAAACAATGACACAAGCCATAATGTGACATGCTCATCCAAAGACCAAATGTATTTAATGTAGAGAAGCTAGGCTGTAAAGTTATTATATAACAATTAATATATAAGTGATATATAAATAGTATATACAATAAATATATTTTATAACCGCTAACAGTTGTGGTATATGCCATTTGCCAGATTTATTGGTATATCTATATTTCTGTTTCTTTTGCGTTACTATTTTAAAACTAATTTCTAACTCATGAATGGCTTCGTTTAGTTTTAATCTAAAATTTTATAAATTGTTACTTTTAAAATAAAACGGTAAGCTTTATAATGTTCCTTATTTTGAGATTTTGATGAGCTTTCTGTGGGCTTCAATTATTAAAATATTCTTTCTTTTGTCAACTACTAAACACAATTTTTGTCTCGTCAAAATTTGAGCCTTAATTTATTGGAGATTAGTGTTAAGGTAACAATAACCAAGGGGGCCAGTAAACGCAAAATGACTGGAAAAATTTCGACAAACTTTTGATATAAACGGGGCGTATATTGCCAATTAATGTGTATAGGAACGAAATTAATTTGTAAACGAAGGACGATAAGCTTATAAAAGATATCAAACTATTCGAAAGGATGGTTTTCTGTAATAAATGGTGCTGGAAGGATCTGTATTAGTTTTTATCTGTTGCCCTAGTTTACTTTGTAGCAACGGATTGAAAAAGTATGTTATATATTGATTATTTTAGGGCATCGCAATCGATTTTGTGTTGTACATATTTGTTGATTATAATCCAGTAAATTTAAATCGCTCCATGATTATAGCACAACACATTTTTGATGCGACTTTTAATTTTATTGAGTTACGCAAACAATATCAACGTGATGTGTTATTATCGTTTAAATTTCTCCATTTTGTTACCGTTAAGGAGATAGAAATATTGTTTTTGTTGTATTCAAATTTGTTATATCATAAACTATGTTTTTAGATATAGATAAAAATTACCTTAACCTATTTATTATTTAATTGCACGCAATTTGAATATCAGATTATAGTTTTTCCATTGTTCTACATTGATGTTGTTTGCTTAACTAACTCATAGGAATATAAGGGACGGTTATTTGGTTTGAGAAACACTGGTCTATGTAAATCGTTATTTAGGGCATAATAAGTCGACACCCAAAGTGTTTTGTTAGCTCCAAAGTATTTTGTTGAATGTTTTGTTACAGGCGAGCGTGGTTCAATTTATATAATATATATCTTTGATTTGTAGAAATAAAGTTTATTCATATTAACAAATTTCATTGTTTTAATTCGACATAGTAAAAGCAAAAAGTAAACTTACAGCTTACGTACCACTGCTGGGCACAGGCCTCTTGTATCTGAAAGTAAGACATGTTTCATTCATTCATTTCTAGTGACCCGAACATTCAAGTATTGGTTCGTCTTACGAATCGGGTCATTCGGATCGATCATTTAAATGGATAATTTCTAGTTTCAGTGCTCTGTGATCTGTGATACTCACATCTGTGATATCACTTGATAACGTCGGTCGTGGGACAATAATTGCAATTATCAATATTTTGATACGGCCCGAGGCGAATGAATGAATGATTAACGATTGACACACATGTCTATCCGAAAGGGTTATAGAACAGTCAGTCCACCACGCTGCTCCTGCCACGGATTTTTTTTTTACCTCAGACGCGGTTTCCTTACGATTTCATCGGTGACGGGGCAATCGAACCCGGGTTGCCCACGTCCTGCGTATTTAACAGCGAATGCTAGTCCCCGAAGCTACAACGGTTTCGACATAGTAGGTATACAAATTGTTATTCTACTAGATAGTGTTGCGTGAACGTTTTCGTAATGAAGGCCATTGAACTCTATTTATGTTATTAGTGAAACAATGATCAAGGGCATATTACGTTGTTTATTTTTGTAGCACAAAGTACCGATTAGGTACGCAACTATGACATATACCTAAGAATGCTTTGAATTTACATGGGTTTTAAAAATCAATACTTAAGTTCAGGTTATTATGTAACCTTGAAACCAGTGGAAATACACTGGTTTTAATATTCTCACGGGATATTATCGCCACAAGATATTCCATCGATCCTTCTAATTCCGTGGGTTTCGTCAGATCCGGTGAGGAAAAACCCCAGAAGTAGAGAAAGTGTGGCGTGGTGTGTGAGATAAAAATAACCCAGCCTACGACGAGAAGCAGGGCCAAGGTTACACACCCCTTCCTTTATAATAGAAACCTATTATTTAAATAAAAAATTGTTTAATTAGGCCAACAAATAAAACATTTTTTTAAACCTAAATAACCTGAAAACATAAGCAAGATAAGTGCAATTTGTACATGGTTGTAATGTTTGTAGGCCGAGCACTTTAGTCAGGTTTTTCAGGTTTTTCTCAACACTCACCATACAAAACAACAACGTTAAAAAAATAAGAAAAAACACCATTATTATGCTGCTATAAACTGCAGCATGACTACCACGTAGAAAACCTGGTAATAAACAAAGTGCTTTTTTTAATTAACACACTACATCTTGACTACGCAGTTCTTAGCAAAAGACTGTAACATTCTAGAGTAATTCTACGTCTATTCTAATCATGTAATATTTAGCCCAGAATTCTTCCTAAAGTTTATTTATTTCGATTTGAATTGACAGCTCCGTGGCGCAGTGGGTTAGCACTGAGTTACAGCGATAAGCCGCATTCCCAAGAACACCTTGTAATCCGACAAATTACATATCAAATATGAAATAATAATAAAATTATGTGATGCCGAATGAATACCTAAACAGTAAATAATGAACGCCCGCTAGGCCGCTACCATACCAAGTCGCGGCACTTAAGTCTAGCGCTGAACGAAACTTGGAGGGGACGCGCACGAATTGAATTGCACGAATGCGACTGTAGAGCCAATCAGCGCGAGTTATACGCAATAAGGGCGATTTGTGCGCAATAATGGTTACCGCTAGACTTTCGTGCCACTACTTATCACTACATACATACATACATATGGACAATACGCGTCAAGCAAAATTCGTGTGGCGCGAACTACATACATACAGACAATACGTGTCAAGCAAAATTCGTGTGGCGCGAACTAGTTGCAACTCATATTGCAACCTGTTTGTCGACCTATTCACGAAGGGCACCTCCCCTGTAGCGGAATCATACCGCGACTCAACTGTACCTACATGTTATAGGCATTAAACAAAGTTTTGGCGTGTAGTTACTTAACCGCTGGTGGATTGTTATTCCTATATTATCGTATAATTAATGCTTTGAAGTGGTTATCGACTGCCTGCTGGTTTAAGCTGACAGAAAAGTCTACCAAGAACATAGCAATTTCATATGTGTGATAAATACTAAAGTGAGTCAACTCGGCGACTAGACGGAGCAACGATGGGGCGCGGTATGAAGGAGAGCGGAGCCCCCAACTCCTGCCCGCGACGTCTGCAGTAGTACAGGTCGGCTTCGCTTCCATACCGGTACGCCCGTGTAGGAGTGTGACGTACACGGAATCAGCTGCACGCTTTTGGTGTTCACCCAGCAACATGATATTACTCGAAAATATTTTAAAATATTGGGAAAGCTTTAAGTAAAATTGAACTCTAATAACCATGTGATTCCTTTCATCACGATTTTTAATGGAACTATATGTAAGGATGAGAATTCATTATATCATTAAATTCAACAAAAGACAATTAAACAAAAAACAATAATAAATGTCGTAAATATTTCTCGGTTGCACATCTGTAACCAGGCGGTTGAATAAACAGAACCAACATATAATTTTAACTTATTTTATTTATACTGTTCAACCCCCTATCAAATATTTAAGCGGAATATCTGAGATACTGCTATATAGGTAAAATATAATAAAATTAGGTACCTACCAGCACAAGCCGTTGTTTCCATCACCACGAATCAGGTGAAGCTGCGGTACGATACTAGTTATTTATTTATTTATTTATGCTTTATTTGCACACCAAGTACAAAAAGGCGGACTTAATGCAACAGGGCATTCTCTACCAGTCTACCTCCAGGCTAAGCAGAGAAAATATTGTGGGTGCAAAGTTCACACAGCTAAGTAATTAATATCTATGTCTACATAACACACACACACACACACGCATATATATATATATATATATATATACGTAATTAAATATAGCAGTTTCTGATTCAAACTACAATAACAAAAATGTTAAAATGAAATGGAAATCCACAAACTACTCCTGCTACATTAGATAGTGATTCCAGAGCAAGCGTTTGAACGATGCCTTACTTGTGGCTGCGCGTACACTGCCCGGTAACTCGTTCCATAATCTTACTAATCTCGTCATCGTTATGTAAAATAGTAATTAGTTTGTATCTTTATGTAAAAAAAAAATAATGAATACGAGGATATTGATAAAATATAATGTTATGATATTATTATTTAAGGAAATGTTTTTGTGGCAACCCTTGCATATTTTTAGCGATTAGACGTCGAAACAGCCTTGTAGGTATTTTGCAGTATAAAAAAGAGGTTGATCCACCATTAGTGTTACGGCCTACGGCTGCTCCCTTAAAGGGTCAAATCCTCAGGGGCCCATGAGCTGAAGACTTCCCGAGCAGACGTAGGTCGGGCCTCAATGTGGCCACGTGGAATCTCTAATTACACTAAAATATATGGGGGAGCGTTCTATAATACGGCCAGTCGACCGGGAGGAATTAGGACGTAGCTTACTTACCTATATCCAAGGCGACTGGTCCCTCCGGAGTCGGTCAGGTCGCATGAGGTTGTGTAGTGCAAGGAAAATAAAGTGATGTGATGTGTATCTGGGTGTGACTGATGGTGATTGAACCTAGACCTTGGCCGTCGGCAGCAGCCCGAGCGTCGACACCGCTCCAACTTGAGGGGGCCTTCCGAGGTTGTCCACAGTCACTTTCCTCTTTCGTCACGATGACAGTCAATTAACTCTATCGTACGATTAATTAAATTACAGAAGCCACTAACTATCGCTGGGTATAAGGTTAACGCACAAAACGCACACGGAGTTTCTGGATCAAAGGTCACTACCGTTTCGCGTAGCAACAGTTAGTTCTAGAATATCAGAGGCCGAACTAGCTAATATTGCCGAATGCACTTATGCAGATTCTGAGTCAGACACAATGAGTCCCTGGGAAGCTCTCCAGCAGGAATGCGCGTCACAATGGTAGACCGTATATTTACTGGCCGCGCCGAATTATTCCGAGTTCGCGACAAAATGACAGCGTGCCGTTCCAAGCACAGCTGACAGGCGACTGACGGCCCTTGTGCGCTTTTCGCACGACCGAAAGTCAAACCGGTATGAATGCACCGCGCCGAGCGCCCTCTCGCGTCAATCCTTGAAAGTGTTTGGCGCGAACAATTAATATTTATTACACATATAGCAATGTGACCCATCAACATATTGTCAGGCCCGTCGCACTCCGCACTTTACACATGAAAATGTACCTACGCTGCGCAGCGTCACAAGGGACTAATTAATTGAGTGAGGTTGTCACACGCGTGCACGAGCTGACCCGCTCCTTGCGTTAACAAAAAAGTTTTTTCTCTTATAAGTATTTAGGCGCTTTTGATATTTATTTTTGAGGTTTTATTCAGGTATGGCCTCGCAAAAAGCCAAAAGGTAATAGCATACGGGTGCTTAAATAACAATAGGAATGTTGACTTTTCATTCTTTACTGTTCCTAAAGATATCGAAAGGTAAGATATTATTATTTATAGATAGATCTATAGTAGTAGATAATTAGGTACCTAGTTACTGACGCCATAGTTACAGATTTATTACTTGATTAGCGATCCGACCATAAAAAAAACAGGATTCAGTGTAAATAGGCCTCCCAGTACTAGTGACATCATACTAATGCAAGATAAGCATATAGTGGTTTTTAAAACAATATATAATAATACATATTATTCATCGATCACTAATAAAAAACTAGATACACAATCCCATGCAAAAGTTCTCTAAAAATTGTCGCCAATTGTTTTGACGCAAGTCTAGTTGAAATAAATATACATTAATGTAAATTCAACCTTAAATGCATTGCCTAAAGTTGTATTCACTAAGCTACGTACGAATTAAAAGCACACCCAAATGTTCGAGTGGGCGCTCATTAGGTAAGGACATTTTTGTCACTGATTGTGAATCTAGTTTTTTATTAGTGATCGATAATATTATTATTTAAACACTTACTCGGTCGATAAAAGAAAGATAGTGAAAATAGAAGCACTTCTC